CTAATGACATTTGAGTTTCGAATCCGTTCCCCACCCTAGTCTTTTTGCGCAAGCGTTCTCTGATACACAACAATCGTCTATTATCGACGATATGTGCTCGTACCGCAACCACTCAGTATCAGTCGATGTGAACAAACACCATAGGTCCACCGTTGTATAATTGGCAATGCACCCGTGTACTGAATGGGAATTGTGGGTTCGAATCCCACCGGTGCCCTTAGATTTTTTCGCAAATTTTCTCACACACACGTCTCTTACCGATGATATGTGCTTACCTCTCAGTATGTTCAAACTTTCCTATAAACTATTCTACTAATATTCTTGAAAATCTGGAATGTTCCCTGAAATTGAGCAAAGTTCCCAAAACATCCAGGAAGGTTCACTGAGCTTTGTTGAAGAGTACTACCCATAATCACATATCAGTCTTTTCGTTGCTTGAATTCGTATTCATATGGGGCAGTTATGCGAATATAGGCATAGTAGTTCCAGTCAGAATGTTCAAAACCATGGACACATGAAAGCTGACAAAAATCGCAGAACAAGAACGTTTGGTAAACTTTTAGAACTTTAATTTGCTTTTTTATGTATTGACGTAGGACTACGTCTGTGATTTCTATATGGGGGTACACTTTGTGAAAACCGATAATGGAACATGCAACAAAATTATGAAAGATTTTGAACGTTAATAACTCAGCTGCCCCTGGACCAATTTCAATAATTTTATCACCAATCGATCATAAATATTTCGACGCATCTGTTAATTTTAAGACTTTATGGTGTTTTAAAATGTAACTATTGATAATTGCACGAATGAAAATTATCACCGACTGTTGCAGCTCTCGAACAAAGTGGAATTTCGTCTCGATGTGTTTCGAACGGCGGCCAATGGTTGATGAATTTGATTGTTTTATCACCCCTTGGTTATCCTCGAACACAATCACTGACGATGATAGCTTCACGTTGAAGTCGTTAAGAATTCTCCGGACCCAACGAAGCTCTTGACAACACTCGGCTAGCACAACGTACTCTGCTTCGGTGCTGCTGAGCGTGACGCAAGTTTGCTTTTTGGAACTCCAGCTTACAGATCCACCAGCGAAACGGAACAAGAAACCTGACGTTGATTTCCGGTCACTCGAATCACTGGCCCAATCAGCGTCGACGAAGATTTTTAGCGATGAACCATCCACGCCCAAAACCAGCTCTTCGTTTAACGTTTGCTTGAGATATCGCGATACCCGCTTCGCTTCCAGCCAGTCAGCTTGAGTCGCACAACTGGTCCTTCTTCCCAGTATCGATACAACAGCCGAAATATCTGAACGCGTATTAACGGCCACGTACAATAAACCGCCAATTAAGCTTGCATATTGGTGATTATTTGGCAATTTATCCGCTTCACCCTCCTCCTTATATTGTGTGTGGCCGGGGATAAGTGGAAACTTAGAAGGTTTTGCATCAGTCATTCCGAAACGTTCCAGCAGTTTTCGGATATATGTTGTTTAATTCAGGCTCACTCCTCCAGCTGATCGATTCACCTCGATCATTAATTTTTGTTTTTTTTTTCGGTACTTCACTCGCGACAGTAACCGAAACGAAAGAAAAAAAAACATTTATTTTTCTCTAATTAAACTTCCGAAAAGGCTTATAACCTATTGGAATGGCCTTAGATCGTGGGAATGAAACCCTTGTGTATCCTACGATGTACAAAACTATAAGAGAGTGAATGTTCTTTATTACCGAGCTTATATTGAGGTTACTATGGTAACATGGAACAAATTCAAAATTATTATGGCATGCTGCGTTTACTCGTCGTCGTCATCTCCCACAGTCCTATGTCACCATTGCGTACAACCCCATAGGGCTGCCCATAGGGCTGGGCTGTCCCTTGTAGTTTTTTTTTACAGAAAACTATTTAAAATGTCTCAAGCATCGTTTTCTGACTAAATTACATGAAAAAAAAACATTTTAACAAGAAGTTAAAAAAATTGCCAAAAGTTCTTGTTCTACGATTTTTGGTTTCCCAGTTGGCATTTTTTATGGACTTTCTTTTATTTTTTTCAATCTGGCAAGAATGTTTTGAGGTTTTTTGGTTTTCAAGCATTTCTTGTAATTTTTAATTGAAATTACAAAAGCATTTCTTTTGTATATTTTGTTTCCAGAAACACATTACTTTTCTCTACAACTTTGTCCCAACCGTCATTTCGATCAGAAGTGCCATTTCTGTGCTACATTTTTTTGAAAAAGGGGCAATGACGCCATTTTGAAAATTTTACAAGATCCAAACTGGCCGAATTTTAGCAAAAATGCGAATCATTGCCCATAACAACTAATTTTGCAAAGTTTCATGCTAATCGAAGAAGGTCATGTTTTTCCGATTCGCCATTTGGCGTGGAACTGCTTTGAAGAAGATCTTTCGCAAACTGCTGCTAAGTTCCTGAAACTAAACTGGTGTCTAAAATTCTAAGCTTCTTCGAAATTTCCCGAAGTTTTATGCGCTTCTACAAAGTTTGCCGACGCAGCTTGCTCTATGACCGGCATAATCGGCACACTTGCGGCACACTGACAAAAAAGATGATCCAAGGCCGGGGGTGCGGAGTGACCTACCCCTTGATACACCTTTACTGTTTGGTGGTTGACAAAGGAATGAAAGTTTTATTTTCTAGACTTGATACTATCGTATATTCATAGATTGCTGCGATCAATTGTACTTCTAACAATTTCAAAGTTTTTTTTTTAAAGTGAATCAGTACTTTTTGTAATGATTCCGATCTTTTCTGAAGTGAGTCAGTACTTTCCGAAGTGATTCCGAATTTTTCAAAAGTACGTCAGATGTCATTTAGAACTTTTATGAAGTGAATCAGTACTTTTCTAATTGATTCTGTATATTTCTGGGATGATTCAGTTCTTTTAGAAGTGATTTTGAATTGTTATAAACTGATTCAGTTCTTTCCGTAGTGATTTAGATCATTTCTGAAGTGACTCAGCACTTTCTGAAGCGATTCAGTACTTTCCGAAGTGATTCCGAACATTTTTGAAGTTATTCAGTTCTTTTAGAAGCTATTCAGCATTATTATAAAAGGGTTCAGTACTTTCCGGAGTAATTTAGAACATTGCTGAAGTGCTTCAGCATTTTTTTAAAGTGACTCCGATCGTTTCTTAAGTGTTTCGGTACTTTTTGAAGTCATTATGAACATTTCTGAAGTGAATCAATACTTTCTGAAGTGATTCCGAACTATTCACAAGTAATTCAGTACTTTCTGAAGTGATTAAGATCTTTTCTCAGGTGGTTCAATACTTTTCAAAGAGATTCCGAACATTTCTGAAGTGGTCAAGTTCTTTTAGAAGTAATTCCGAACGTCTTTGAAGTATTTCAGTAATTTCCGAAGTATTTCCGATCATTTCTGAAGTGGTTCAGTCGATTCATTCAGTTCTTTTAGAAGTGGCTCCGAAATTTTATGAAGTGATTCAGTACTTTTCGAAGTGGGTCCGATCGTTTCTGAAGTGATTCAGTACTTTTCGAAGTGATTCCGATAATTTCTAAGGTGATTCAGGACATTCCGAAGTGATTCAAAATGTTTCAAAAGTAAGTCTGTACTTTCCGAAGTGATTTCGAAATTTTCTGAAGTGGATCAGTGCTTTGGAAGTGATACCGAATGTCATATATGGGATGATTCTGATCTTTTAGAAGTGATGCCGATTTTTTAAGTAATTCAGTACTTGCCGAAGAGACTTCGAATATTTCTAAAGTGATTTAGAACTTACCTAAGAAGCGATTCAGTACTTTCCGAAGTTCTTCCGATCGTTTCTGAAGTGATTCAGTTCTTTTAGAAGTTATTCGAAATTATTATGAAGTGCTTCAGTACTTTTTGAAGCAATTCCGATCGTTTCTGAAGTGATGCAGTACTTTCTGAAGGAATTCCGATTTTTTTTAAAGTAATTCAGCACTTTCCGAAGTGATTAAGATTTTTTCTCAAGTGATTCAATACTTTCCGAAGAGATTCCGAACATTTCTGAAGTGGTTCAGTTCTTTCAGATGTGATTGAAACTTTCTTTGAAGCAATTCAGTATTTTCCGAAGTATTTCCGGACATTTCTGAAGTGATTCAGTACTTTCCGAAGTGATTTCGAACTTTTCTTAAGTGAATCTGTACTTTTTCAAGTTCCAAAGACGAAAATTCTATCTGCCACAGACTTATTCAGCACGATTTTCAGCTTGTAAACATTTTTAAGGTGTTGCTTAACTTTTTGGGGGGAGGCAATATTCAATTCGACAGTGAGCATGCATAAGGGCGAATACGCGATGATGATTCTCTTCATGCATGCTCACTGTCGAATTCAGTGTTGCAATACTTTTCTATCAAGGGGGGGAGGTGGCTGTCAAATACGAACAATCGTCGCCTACCTCGCATAACTGGGATAACTGGTTCCAAACGTAAACAAGCCATAAGAAACCTACAACGTTTGTTTACGTTTCATACAAGAATGATCAGTAGGCTGATTTGACAGCACGTCCCCCCCCCCCAAGTTTTCTATGCGAGTCCATACTTCTCGCGCAACACTAGAAACGGGCCTATCATTGTTGGTCGATTCTCGAATAACTCGACTGCAAATGAATTTCCCATTCAGTGTGTTGATTCAGGCGCAAGCTAACATCATCTTCTGTCGAACAGTGCACCACTTTTTGATTCATCGATTTGTTTGCACTTCCCCTTCTGTTTTGTGCTGAGAGCTTAGCGAGAAATTCGTTTATGTTGCCGTGGTAAACCAAAGAGGAAGTCGATGAAGAGAATCGATCAACGAGGATAGGCCCTTTTCAAATGTTACGCGAGACTTATGACGGGTAGTGTACATCATTTCAAAAGCGAATTTTCAATTAGCCGTACCTACGGAAGGAAATCCTTCCGATGTGGCATGCATTGGTTGTCTTGGCATTAACTGACCGTCACCAGTTTGAACAATCAACCGACCTAATAACAAACTTTCTGATTTCCCCTTTCCTTCCAGGTATACTTCATCCGCGAGGGCTACCAGGGCATGGTCGATGGCGGGGAGCACATCGTGGAAGCCAACTGGGCCTCAGTATCCAGTATTATCCACCGTGGCGGTACGGTGATCGGATCGGCCCGCTGCATGGACTTCAAGGAACGTGCCGGACGGCTGAAGGCTGCCCAGAATCTGGTCGTCCGTGGCATCACCAATCTGGTGGTGATAGGTGGTGACGGTTCGCTGACCGGTGCCAACCTGTTTCGACAGGAGTGGAGCAGCTTGTTGGACGAGCTGCTGGCGGCCGGTCGGATTACCCAGGACCAGCGACTTAAGAACAAAGCGCTGCACATTGCCGGCATGGTCGGTTCGATCGATAACGATTTCTGCGGTACGGACATGACCATCGGTACCGATTCGGCCCTGCACCGCATCATCGAGGCCATTGATGCTATCGTTAGTACTGCCTACTCTCACCAGAGAACCTTCATCATGGAGGTCATGGGCAGACATTGTGGGTAAGTTTTACGGTCCTTAACCCCCTAAAAAGCAATCGGCAGACAGACATTTCGTTGAAATGATTGAAAATTGTTTAAGTCCGAATTTGAAAATCAGCACCAGCTAGTGAAATTGGGCAGGATTTAGGATCGCTCTCACCACCAAAAGCTCAGATATTAACAGTCAAAACTCTTTCTTTTCCCTGGTGCGTAGATATCTGGCAGTTGTTGCTGGTGTGATTTCCGAAGCTGATTATGTTTTCATTCCAGAATCGCCTCCTCCCCTCGATTGGGAGGTGAAACTTTGCTCCAAACTAGAACAGGCAAGAGTTTTCTAAGTGTTAGGTAGCGAGGAATGTGACCTGAACCTTTTCTCTTTGTTATATTTTTTTTCTTAATTGTCTACACCCTTGCCAATCATTATCGTTTTTCAACTTTCACAATCTTCTCCTGTCTTTCCACAACTACTCGATGTTTGTGCCATCCATCCAAGCAAAATCTACCGAAACTCAGGTCGTTTTCCCCCCATTCTTAATCTTGTGTTAGCCTGTGTTCAATAAATTATTTTCTGTTGTTATTGTAACGAAAAATCAAGCGATTATCTATGTATGGTACCAAAAGCAACGAAGCAAAATCTCCCAAGGACTAAACTGGATAAACGGAAATCAAAATTTTAAATTCAAAGCAACGCAACTATGATCAATCTATACCAACCAAAACAAAACATTCATTCCATCTCCCACTTTTCTCGCAGTTATCTAGCTGTAGTGGCCGGTCTATGCATTGAGGCAGATTACATTTTCATTCCCGAAGACCCACCAAATACTGATTGGCCCGAAAGAATGTGCAGTCAATTGAGTCAGGCAAGAATCTCCCTCCAGCACGCTCTAATCTCTCATCTTCCGCTCGCTTTAGATGAACGAAGTTCAAATGAAAATTAACTTTAACATTAACGCCCGAATTAGATTGTGCTATCATCATCCCGTTTGGTTTTTCTAAATTTATGCAACCCATCCCTTAAGGAAGGCACCATTCTGGTCAGCGTTGCTTGCCTGAATGAGTTCACTTTCATCCGTCCACCGTCCTTATCAGACGGCAGCGTGCATTTTTCATTTATTTATTTTTTTAGCTTATAAATGCCCACGATGCCGCTTATCTGCTCCCCGTGTGTCCGCTATTCACCTTATAGGTTATTCTGCATTCAAGGCATCCGATTTGGTTCATCATCTCAGTACTACCATACATAGAGATTCCGTTTAATTCGTTTGCATCTTAGAAGTTATTACATTACTTACCTACACTGCTACTCATTTTAGCGATCGTCCTCGAAAGTGAAATTTAAATATGGTTTGTTTCGGTTTAGATGGGTGGATGGGGGGACGTTTGTTTCGTTTCTCGGTGTGGTAAAGTCTCGTGGCGTGGTTTTGTTTACCTTCCCTAAGTTGAAATGACGCGTTGCACAAGGGCTCATGCAATGTACTTCACGTGATGCACCTATACGGCTTATCAGCTAAACTAAACAAGCAGAATGCATGCACACTAGGGTGGGTCAACTTTACAACTCCACACTGCTCTTTCAATGCGTATTGAGGTTCACCAAAACTGGGCCAAATTTGAACGAATTTCGTTATAATCTCGATTTGCGGGAAAATTTTAAATTATGGAAAGCGGGACTATCATATTCAATTGCCTACCAAAAAATCAAATATTGTTCAAATTTCACCAAATCTCGGACTTGTATTGAGAATACTATATAACACAACTTTGTCGAGGGCAGCAAATCGACTTGATCTTTGTACAAAAAATTACTAATCTTTCATTTTAGACCAAGAGTTCCACACGTACCTACTAGCTAATATACACTAGTGGAAATAAATATAAAGACACTTTAAAAGCATGGCTCCTCGAAACTTTAAGAATCAGATTAAACCTAAAGCATGTGTGTTTGGAAGTCACATTATCATGTTACGATATAAACCTGAGAATGGATCAATTGCATAATATACCTAGGAGAAATAAATGGAAATGTGATTTTCTCCTACGGAAATAAATATAAGTACGATGCATGATTAAGCATGTCATCAATTCTTGCGGCTCCAAATCAATCAAAGAGTTAGTTCCAATAATCATTATTCTCGATTTTTGCTAAATTTTAAGCATATCCAATCGGTTCTCAAAATACACAAAAATCGATAATCACAAAAACTTGCCCATGAAACGCCTAAATGTATGTTTCTTCTATCTGCTTCGACCGATTCTCATCGACTTTCTCTTTTCATAACTACTCTTATGCAAACAGATTTCGCGCTAATTCTACCTCATAGTTTGATAAAGGAGGTTCTTATCGAGCGTCCAAATCGTCAAATACAACAGGGAAAGGTTTTCCAGCTGAGTTATTGACGAAAGAGAAAGTCAATGAAGAGAATCGATCAATGCAGATAGGACCTTTTGAAATGTTTATCTAGAGTTCTGAGTGGCGTCGCCCTAACCTCAATCTACCTGCTCAACCATTCTAAACACAAATAACAATGTATTGCTTTAAATTGATACGAATCCGGGTCAAAATCGACATTTTTAACTTCCACTATTGAATTGCTCGGTATTACCAAAGTTAGAATAGTGATGAGTCAAAAGCCATCCAGGTTCTCCATAAATGGCTTGAAATTATGCTGTGAAATGGTAACACTGCTCGAGTTGAATCAAATAGAGCTCAACATCTCGGTTTCGTTTCAAGACAGTGACTTCAAATGTTTCGCAAAGTTGGACTATCTGTCAACGGTCATCCAGAATTCACATGAATGACTCGAAATTCTGTCATTAGATGGCAACACTGACCGGGTAGAATCAATTATGCTTAACATCTCGGTATCGTTTCAAGATAGCGACCTCGAATGTTCAGTGTGAGTCAAGAGCCAGTCAGGGTTTTCAGGGTCACAGATAGAGTAAACCCAAATAAAGCCCACTATCTCGGAATCATTTCTAGATGGCGACTTCGAATATTCAGCAAAGTGTGCGTATGAATCAAGAGCCAGCCAGGGCTGCCGTGAATGTTTGAAATACAGCCCGTAGATGGCAACACTGTTTGTGTAGAATCAAATAGAATTCAATATTATGGCATCGTTTCAGGGAAGCGACTTACTATTATTTACATAAGTTAAGCACCACCCAAATTAGATTCGTTTGCGTTGACGTAAATTTGACAGTTAGACAATCGAATTAGCTGTCACTTTGCCGCAACGCGTCTGATCCGGATCTAATGTGGGTGCTTCTTTAAAATATGACTTACGTAGGAAACTACTGAATCACTTTAGGAAAGTTCGGAATCACTTCTGTAAAATTTGGGATTACAGTCCCCTTTCGATTTTGGCAACAAGCCCGAAAATTTAGTGTTGCCAAAATTGAAATTTATCTTATGATTTCGTGGATTTTTGACCACTGTGAGACGTTATTAATAATTAATCTTTTATTAAAAATTGTATTCACAAGGAGCAAGAATACATTATTTTCAAAATCCCCACCGTGCCAAAATCGAACCCCGTGCCTAAAACGAACTATTTTATGGTTTTGTTGCCAAAATTGAATGAGTACTGTGCTTCGGAAATCTTTCAATTACTTTTTTTTATTTTTTTTTGTTAATTAATTTGATAAGGCTCAATCGAATTAACATTACAGAGCCGAGGGTTCTTGTTCACTATACAAGAAATCGTAACACTTTATCAGAACGTGATCCGCTTCCAGAAGTTTCATTTTTTGGCAGTATCGCCAACGGGGGGTAGAGCGCTTCCATTGCAGCAATGGACGCAAAACGTGGTCATTACTCACACACTCATCACGGAACGGTTGCTTTCTTCCGAAAGAACTACTGATGACGAACAATGAGAAGGACCACACAATGGTTGCTGCCGAGTAAACAGGTGATCGCGTGACACACATCGAGAGTGGCCTGCTTCTGTCGACAGCCGAGTGAACACTGTTTTCAATCACTTTGAAAAATGCTATATCACTTCAATATATCACTTGGATTCACTTTGAAAAGTACTGAATCACTTCATAAAATTACGGAACAAGTTCGGAAAGTATTGAATCAGTTCATAAAAGTTTGCAATCACTTCTGCAAGTTCTGAATCACTGTCATGATATTGAGTTCTATTTGATTCTACTCGAGCAGTGTTGCCATCTACTGGCTGAATTTCATATATCCACGACTCTTGACTCATACAAACACTTTGCTGAACATTCAAAGTCTCCATCTAGAAACGATTCCGAGATAGTGGGCTTTATTTGGGTTTACTCTATCTGTGATGCCATAGCAGAATTTAGAATCATTTACACGGCAAGCCTTACTGGCTCTTGACTCACACTGAACATTCGAGGTCGCTATCTTGAAACGATACCGAGATCTTAAGCTTTAATTGATTCCATCTAATGACAGCATTTCGCGTCATTCGTGTGAATTCTGGATGACCCTTGACACATAGTCCAACTTTCCGAAACATTTGCAGTCACTGTCTTGAAACGAAACCGAGATGTTGATTCTACTCGAGCAGTGCTGTCATTTCACAGCATAATTTTGAGCTATTTATGGAAAACCTGGATGGCTCTTGACGTCTTGACTACATTATTTTGGACAAGTTTGAGATCGCTTCAGAAAGTACTGAATCTCTTCAAAAAAAAAAATGGAAGCACTCACTTTAGATAGTACTGAATAGTTTCAGAAAATTTCGTAATCATTTAGCAAAGTACTGAATCATTCCAAAAAACTTGTTATCAGTTTCGCAAATTCTAGATCACTTTATAAAAGTTTGGAATCTCTTCAGAAATGGAAATCACTGAACCACTTAAGAAAAGTTCGAAATCACTTCGGAAAACATCGGATCAATTCATAAGTAAGTGAATCAGTACTTTCTAAAGGAATTCCTAACATTTTTTAAGTGGTTTAGTACTGTCCAAAATGATTCCGAACTTTTCTGAATCACTTCAGAAATTACTGAATCACTTCAGATAACTTTGGAAAGTACTGCTTCAGAAAAGTATGAAATCACTTCTGCAAGTTCTGAATCACTTTGGAATGAACTAAATCATTTTGGACAAGTTTTAAATCGCTTCGTAAAGTACTCAAAAATTGAATTTTTTTTTCAGATAGAGGTAAATCATTTAAGAAAATGTCGTAATCATTTTGGAAACTACTGAATCACTTCAGAAAGTATTTTACAACTTTCACAAGCACTAAATAACTTCATAAAAGTTAGGAATCACTTGTCAGAAATAACTGAATCATTTAAAAATATTCGGAATCACTGAACCACTTAAGAAAAGTTCGAAG